AGAGGATCGTGTTGATCTCCTGGGAGCCCCCGTGTTTACGGAAGGGCTCTTTGGATCGATCTCCTTGCTCACGGGATGAGGAGTAGTCGCAGCGTGGCTGATTCTTGCCCATCCCCAGAGGAAGAAACACTGTCCTACACGCCCCGAAAACCCCAGTATAGGGAGCCAGCAGGTGGGCGTGTGCACGTGAGTGGAATAAACCGAGTGCTGTAAAAGCACTGTGCGGGTTCAAGAGACGCTATTGCCGGCGTGCTGTTGTCAGAAAACACACCTTGCCTGGTATAATAGCTCCGATTAATGCATTTCACCGTTGCAATGGGAAATACAGCGTTAATACGTGGGCGCGACCTCTTGCCTTTGACCAGTATAGTGTTATCAACAGCTCCCGGAAACGTAAGTTCTAATATTACACTAGATAGTAAACTAGAATGCTTTTCAGCCATAAACCTTGAACAATTAAATTCAATGATTCTCTCTTCTAAACCATCAACGTGCATGTTAGACCCAATTCCAACTAAGCTGTTGAAGGAAGTTTTTCCATTAATTAGCACTTATTTATTAAATATTATGAATATGTCTTTATTATCAGGCTATGTTCCACAATCATTCAAAGTAGCAGTGATAAAAAAGCACAACCTCGATCCAGAGGTTTTAGCCAATTATAGACCTATTTCTAATCTTCCGTTCCTCTAAAAAATTATTCGCAAAACAGCTGTGTGATTACTTAAAAAACAATGATTTATTTGAAGATTTTCAGTCTGGCTTTAGAACACATCAAAGCACAGAGACAGCTCTGGTTAAAGTCACAAATGACATTCTAATAGCCTCAGACAAGGGATTTGTCTCTATTCTTGTTTTGCTCGATCTCAGTGCTGCATTTGATACTATCGACCATGATATCTTATTGCAAAGACTAGAGCACTTAGTTGGCATACAGGGAACTGCTTTAGGCTGGTTTAGGTCCTATCTATCTGAACGCTCTCAGTTTGTACGTGTCAACGATGAATCTTCCACGCAAACCAAAGTTAGCCATGGAGTGCCACAGGGCTCAGTGCTCGGACCTATTTTGTTCACATTATACATGCTTCCGTTAGGCAATATTATAAGGAATCATTCTGTACATTTTCATTGTTATGCGGATGATACTCAACTATATTTATCAATCAAGCCTGATGAAATTAATCATCTAAATAAAATTCAAGACTGCCTCAAGGACTTAAAAACGTGGATGACCTTAAACTTTTTGATGTTAAACACGACCAAAACTGAAGTTATTGTACTCGGCCCGAAGAATCTACGAAACAAATTATCTAAGGATATATTAACTATGGATGGCATTAATTTGGCCTCCAGTGAGACTGTAAGGAATCTTGGTGTTATATTTGATCAGGATTTATCCTTTAACGCCCACATAAAATCAATTTCAAGGACTGCCTACTTCCATCTACGTAACATTGCAAAAATCATGCATATCTTGCCTCAAAACGATGCAGAGAAACTAATCCATGCATTTGTTACTTCAAGGCTGGATTATTGTAACTCTTTATTATCAGGGTGTACCAAGAAGTCAGTCAAGTTTCATCAGCTGATTCAAAATGCTGCAGCTCGTGTACTAACCAGAGTTAGGAAAAGGGACCACATTACTCCTGTTCTGGCTGCCTTACACTGGCTCCCTATAGAACACAGGATAGAATTTAAAATTCTTCTTCTCGCCTACAAAGCCCTTAATGGGCAGGCGCCATCTTACCTTAAAGAACTCATTATACCTTACTGTCCTACTAGGGCATTGCGTTCCAAGAATGCAGGGTTGTTGGTTGTTCCTAGAGTCTCTAAAAGTACAATGGGAGCCAGAGCCTTTTCTTATCAAGCTCCACATTTGTGGAATCAGCTTCCAGTTTGTGTTCGGGCGGCAGACACCCTATCCGTTTTTAACAGTGCGCTTAAGACCTTCCTTTTTTATAAAGCTTATAGTTAGGGCTGATTAGATTCAGCCCCTAGTTTTGCTGATATAGGCTTAGTTTTGTCGGGGGACATCTTACTTCTTCCTTCTCTCTGTCTATACCTGTGTACTCTCATGTTCCGATTAACCCAGCTTCCCCAGATTTCTTTCTTTTGGTGTCTATTTACGCCGGCATCCGGAGTCATGGATGATCCTGCGGTCCTGTGTCCTGCATCGCGAGGTCCTTGTACAATGTGAGGGTCTAAGGACAGAGGGTCTAAGGACAGAGGGTCTAAGGACAGAGGGTGTCGTATTGTCATACTGATATTCTGTACAAACTGTGAAGTCCACTGAGACAAATGTAACATTTGTGATATTGGGCTATATAAATAAACATTGATTGATTGATTAATTGATTGATTGATATTTGCTGCAGGTCTCCCTTGAAAAAGAGATCTATGATCTCAATGGGACCATCAATCAATCAATCAATCAATGTTAATTTATATAGCCTGTTGAGAGTTTTCATAGTATGTTTAATACGTAAAACGAAAGTTAGTTATAATCAAATATAATCAATTATATTCTTGTATAACCCACAATGAAAATGCTTCATATTTTAGGTTTTTCTATAGTTACAGTATAAACAAAACCAAGTGGTTTGTTAAGTTGAGTGTAAGGCCTATAAGAGTTATGGGTGTCTCTGATAAGAGAGTAGGCCGTTTTTTCCCTCTCCTCTGACAGCAGTTCACAGGGAGGGGGGCTCCTGACTGAAGGAGAAATACATTGAGGCGTCAAAAAGTTGGTTATGTCATAGCCATAGAATATGTCTGTTCATGTCCTGTTTTCTACACAAACATGGGAAGGTGTGTCTTAGGCCATAGCCAATAGAAGATGTTGGTTGGGAATAGAGGAGGTGTTTGTTTTTTGGGGTTTCGATCCGGTTTTTTGAGCATAAAGAGACTGGTTTTTTGAGAGAGCGCGAGAGAGAGGGGGGGGTTTCCCCTGGTATACTCTCTCCCGGTAGGCTTTGTCCTTCAGAGCTGGGTTAATAGCTCTCGGTAAGGTTCTCTCAAACTTGGTAAATATCTCTTGAATTTGTTGGTTGAAATGCTGAGTGAATTTCTTTGAATGCTGAGTGAATTTCTTGGTTGGAATGCTGAGTGGAATGATTTGATGGGAGATGTGTTTGTGAGATGTGTTTGTGATTAGTAACCGCCACCGTGAGGATCTTCCTCCGAAATACCTGCGGGAGATAGGTGTGTGTTTTTGAATGTTATTCCCGCCGTCTGTGTCGGAAAAAAACGGTATGAAACTGATGTGAATTGATTTGGTGAATGAAAAGTTGAATGCGCTTTTTATTGTCACCGGTCTTTTTATGAGGAAATACCTCTAAATTCTATCGGGAGAATTTTAAAATGTCACAACTGAATTGGGCAGTTGAAATTAAACATTTTGGTAATAAATGTAAGACTGTGAATTAAAGTTTCATATTTGAACATGATCACAGCACCATTTTTTTAGTATGATTATAATGTTGTAAAGAGAGAAGGTAAAAACCCTGTATTAGTTTGGACCTATTTTTCTTCAAATAAACTGATCCCACCTTTTTGGACTGGGATAACTTAAAAGACAACCTGTGCTCTCCTCTCCTGCTTCAAAGGTAAGATTGCACCCTGCCACACACACTTAGGTAGGAGCACACTCCATTTACTGATATCAAAATCCTTCGGGATCCCTTAAACAGATTAAAAAAGAGTTGTCTGAATTGAAACAGCAGTTAATTGAACCTGGTTCTTCAGGAGTTAGTAGAGGTGAGATCTTGCTGACGTTGGTGGATCTGAGCCAAGCAGTAAACTTACATAGACTCAATAACTTCGGTCAGGTCAATTAGTGGGTCAGAGTAATTTACCGGAATAAATTATCAGGACCTCGCCGACTCTAAACAGTCCTTAGACCCTCTGTCCTTGGACCCTCTGTCCATAGTCCCTCTGTCCTTAGACCCTCACATCGTACAAGGAAAAACTTCCAGAGAAAACCAGACCATCTGGTTAAATAAAGGTTTGAAATGAAATGACACGCAGGTGCTCATTGGTTAGCCTCGGTTAGCCTCGGTTAGCTCATTGGTTAGCCTCGGTTAGCCTGCCCTGGAACGATATTTATTTTTTGTGACCTCAGTTCTGACTTGAGGAAATGTTTGGTCAAACACTTTGTGTTTTGTCTCATAGTGGCGTTTTGGCACTTTTAATGAGCGCCACGTTCTCTGAACAAATGAGACACACTGGCTCTGTGCTCCCAGTTGGCCGGATGAACATGAACGAGTCCACTCAGGGTTAAAAGCTCTGTTCTCACTGTCCACGTTCCTCTTCTTGGAGAGCGCCATGTGTAATTATGTGTCTCTCCCTGTCTGCCGCTAACACGCCTGTTCACTCTCCTCTCCGCTTCTCTCCCTGTATCTCTCCTCTTCTCTCTTTCGCCCCCTGTCGGAAGCGGTTAAAATCGAATCGCCCCGTCAAAATTGAAATCCCCTATTAATGTCTCGATTATAGGTCCGGGTCCGTATAGGTCGGCTCCTGGGTCCGGATCCGGACCACGGTCCGCCTGTTGTTTAGAGTAATAATAAAATACATGGTATTTATAAAGCACTTATCCTGGTGCTCAGAGACGTTACTTTCAGTCTTCTTCTTTAAATGCACAGGTGGACACCTGGTGAGCTTTATTTCTGCTTTGTGAGTTCTACTGTTAGTTTGAATATGTCGTGCCTCACTCTGCTGTTTCCCTTTAGTTCCTTTTTTACTCTTTGTATGCAGTAATCAGAGCCTGCTGGGGGAGCGTACTGAGAACATTTCTAAACTGATCTTTCGGAACTGGAGCTGAATACATTTTAAAGTAACCCTCCAAACCCTGAATATCAGAATATACCTATAACAGCTAAAAGAAAAAGTGATCTTTCTGTTAAGAAATGTATCTGTTGGTTCTGTGTTCACTTTGTTGTGTTTCTGGATCTCATGTGGAGTGTAACCTGTGCAGCTCTGAGGAATCAAACTGAAAACACACTCACACTTCCTCAGACCAGGTTTCAACCACTGCAGTCCACCATGGTCCATCCTGCAGGAAGAAACACAGTCAGGATCAACTTCATACACCTTCACTCAAATCCACCATTAGACAGGAAGCAGAGTCCCTCAGTCAGTGACAGAGACTCAGTCTGTCTGTCTGTCCGTCTGTCTGTCTGTCTCTCTCTGTCCGTCCGTCCGTCTGTCTGTCTGTCTGTCTGTCTGTCTGTCTGTCTGTCTGTCTGTCTGTCTGTCTGTCTGTCTGTCTGTCTGTCTGTCTGTCTGTCTGTCTGTATGTCTCTGTCTGTCTGTCTGTACCTGAGTGTCTCCAGTCTCCAGAGTGGATCTTCACGTCCAGCAGACAGCAGCTTCTCTCCTGAGTCTCCTGGATGATTGTAGCTCAGGTCCAGCTCTCTCAGATGGGAGGAGGGGTTGGAGCTCAGAGCTGAAGCCAGAGAAACACAGCCTTCCTCTGTGACCAGACAGCCTGACAGACTGCACACACACACACACACACACACACACACACACACACACACACACACACACACACACACACACACACACACACACACACACACACACACACACACACACACACACACACACACACACACACACACACACACACACACACACACACACACACACACACACACACACACACACACACACACACACACACACACACACACACACACACACACACACACACACACACACACACACACACACACACACACACACACACACACACACACACACACACACACACACACACACACACACACACACACACACACACACACACAATGAGGCGGATCATCTTCGTCTTTTGTAGCAGAAAACCTTCAACCAAATATTGATGACCAGAAATGCTTTTTACAGTCACCATTTTAACCAATGGAATTGAATGGACAATTAGTTGAACCGACATTACAAACTCAACGTATGTATTATATTCTTTGGACCACAAACAAGTTTAAATACAGACTAATATGATCAAAGTGACTACATTAGCAAAGAACTTCAGGATAACATTGCTGCCACGTTTAATACTGGATGATAAGAAAGCCTCAACATTTGACTTGTTCCTCAGGTCCAGCTCAGACTAGAGGACCAGCAGCTGAGGACTGAGGACAGAGCTTCACAGCTTCTCTCTGACAATGCACAAACACTAAATTAATTAAATTAAAGGTCCATCCAATAGTTCATAAAAGAACTAAATAAGTGTTCAGAGGGTCAACATTTTTAAACAGCTTTTCACTGACCTGAGAGTCTCCAGTTCACAGTGTGGACTCTCCAGTCCAGCAGACAGCAGCTTCACTCCTGAATCCTGCAGGTCGTTGTTACTCAGGTCCAGCTCTCTCAGACTAGAGGACTGGGAGCTGAGGACTGAGGACAGAGCTGCACAGCTTCTCTCTGACAGGTTACAGACACTCAGTCTGGAGAGGAATCAGTAACACAGAAGAAATCAATAACAAACTTGTATTTGTTTCTGATTAAATAATAAATAAATGTAACCTGGATAGTTATGTGTTCACGTACAGAGCTTTGTTGGAGGCTTTGACCACTGGCAGCAGCCTCAGAAGAGCCTCCTCTGAAGCAGAGTATTTCTTCAGGTCAAACACGTCCAGATCTTCTCCTGATGACAGTAAGATGAAGACCAGAGCTGACCACTGAGCAGGAGAGAGATTCTCTGTGGAGAGACTTCCTGAACTCAGGGACTGTTGGATCTGCTTCACTAGAGAACGATCATTCAGTTCATTCAGACAGTGGAACAGGTTGATGCTTCTCTCTGGAGAGGGAGCCTCTTCTATCTTCTTCTTGATGTACTGGACTGTTTCCTCTTCAGTCCCTGAGTCACTTCCTGACTGTGTGAGCAGGCCTCGTAGGAGTTCCTGATTGGTCTGCAGTGAAAGACCCAGGAGGAAGCGGAGGAACAAGTCCAGGTGTCCGTTTGGACTCTGTAAGGCCTGGTCCACAGCACTCTGGTAGAGATGTGAGAGTTCAGGTTTGACCTCATACTGCTGGGAGGTTGTTGGTTCTTCTGCCAGCAGGTTGACTCCAGAGTTGATGAAGGTCAGATGGACATGAAGAGCAGCCAGAAACTCCTGAACGCTCAGATGGACGAAGCAGAACACCTTGTCCTGGTACAGTCCTCTCTCCTCTCTAAAGACCTGTGTGAACACTCCTGAGTACACTGAGGCTGCTGTGATATCGATGCCACACTCTGTCAGGTCGTGATCATAGAAGATCAGGTTGCCTTTCTGCAGCTGCTCAAAAGCCAGTTTCCCCAGAGACTCCATCATCTTCCTGCTCTCTGGACTCCAGTGTGGATCTGTCTCAGCTCCTCCATCATACTTGATGTTCTTCACTTTGGACTGAACCACCAGGAAGTGGATGTACATCTCAGTCAGGGTCTTGGGCAGCTCTCCTCCCTCTCTGGTTTTCAACACCTCCTCCAGAACTGAAGCAGAGATCCAGCAGAAGACTGGGATGTGGCACATGATGTGGAGGCTTCGTGAGGTCTTGATGTGGGAGATGATGGTGCCGGCCTGCTCCTGATCTCTGAATCTCTTCCTGAAGTAAACCTCCTTCTGTGGGTCAGTGAACCCTCGGACCTCTGTCACCATGTCCACACACTCAGGAGGGATCTGATTGGCTGCTGCAGGTCGTGTGGTTATCCAGAGGCGAGCAGAGGGAAGCAGCTTCCCCCTGATGAGGTTTGTCAGCAGCACATCCACTGAGGTGGACTCTGTGACATCAGTCAGGATCTCAGTGTTGAGGAAGTCCAGAGAAAGTCGACACTCATCCAGACCGTCAAAGATGAACACGACCGGGAACTGATCGAACCTGCAGATTCCTGCGTCTCTGGTTTCAGAGAAGAAGTGATGAACAAGTTCCACCAAGCTGTACTTGTTCTCTCTCACCACGTTCAGCTCTCTGAAGGTGAATGGAAATATGAACTGGATGTCCTGGTTGGCTTTGCCTTCAGCCCAGTCCAGAGTGAACTTCTGTGTTATGACTGTTTTCCCAATGCCAGCCACGCCCTTTGTCAGCACTGCTCTGATTGGTGCATCTCTTCCAGGTGAGGCTTTAAAGAGGTCTTCTTGTCTGATGGTTGTTTCTGGTCTGTGTGGTTTCCTGGATGCTGATTCAATCTGTCTGACCTCATGTTCCTTGTTGACCTCTGCAGACCCCCCCTCTGTGATGTAGAGCTCTGTGTAGATCTGGTTCAGAAGGGTTTGGTTTCCTGCTTTAGCGATGCCCTCAAACACACACTGGAACCTCTCCTTCAGGGTGGATTTGAGTTTACTGCACACTGCAGCAGGAGATCCTGAATGAACGAACAACAAGTGGAATCAGTGAGTGGGTCCTGCAGAAACACTGAGACTCTGAACATGTAAGTGTGGCTGTACAGTTTGAATCAGCTCCTCAGAGGACACACTGACGCAGACGTGTGCAGTATATTAACAGCAGAGTTTGTAAATGTAAGCTTCTCCATGTTCCTCCATCTCCTCTCCATCATGTTAAATGTGTTAAACCCTCTTACTGCTCTGCAGACGCTCAGCCAGCTCCTCCTGCTTCATGCTCCTCAGGAAGTGCAGGGTGATGTTCAGAACTGCCTCTCTGCTGCTCCTCTGCTCTTCATCCTCACCGTCCAACACCTCCTCATCCTCACTCTGACTCTCTAAGCCTTCTGGGTAATCTGAACTCAGAGCCTTCTGGATCTTCTTCAGCTCGTTCTTCACAAAAGTCACGATGTTCTCCTCCAGCAGCTGGAACAGATTGATGAACATTGATCAGATGAATATCGTTAAAACTAAAGTTATCATGTTATTATGTAAAGGGTAACCCGACTCAAATCTTGACATCCTCTTTTTTCTATAATCATCCCACCCTCTTGGATTGCTCGACTGCCACCCTCACACTTAGGCAGGGCCACACCTCACTACAGAACCCTCTGGGATCTCTTAAATAGATTTAGTCGCCTGCCTTCAAACAACAGTTCATTGAACCTGGTTCTCCAGAAGTTAGCAGAGGTGAGACCTTTCAGAGGTGGATCTGAGTCTGGTGGTAAACTTGCATAGACTCATTCGCTTCTGAAAGGTCAATCAGTAGGTCTGATTAATAGTCAGGGATTAATACAGGTCCGCCGACACAGCAACAGTTAATTTAAAGAAGACAACAGTAGTAATAATGATACGCCTTCAATCACATTAGTATGCATAAAAAGTGACAGGTGGGTCCGCCCCAATCATGCTAATGAGCTAAGTCCCGCGTCCCTTTGTTTGAGGTGTGATCACATGTAGGTGTGATATCACACGGAGGTGTGAGATCCTTTGATGTGAGGGGTGAGGTGTGAAATGCCCCCCTGTAGTAGCGCCTTTGTTGTCTAATCCTTTGATGTGAGGGTTGAGGTGTTATAACATGCAGGTGTGATTTAATGATCTGATCTTGTATTTTTAATGTTTAATTACTTCACACAACTTTAAAAGCCCCTATGAAGTTGTTGTTAACTAAGGATGTTCTTTTTGAAATTGTATGGCTTGTGAACTGGATGTTCTCTTAAGTTGTATGGCTTGTAAACTAATGTTTTAATTATTTTGATTAACTACAAGGAAGTCTCTTTGAAGAGGGTAATAATAGTTATGCAAAAAGTTAAAACTAGAAAAAATGAAATACTTTTTTTAGTCATGATTTTACGGAAAAAGTCAAAAGTATAGTTTGTCAGAAAAAGAAAAATATGGAAAAGTCATTGTGTACAAATAGTATGTTGAAAATAAAAAAAAAGAAACTCAATTCATTACAAATTAATGAATATTTTACCAAGTTCCAAAGTTTTGCATCCATTAAAGAAAACCCCATTCCTTACAAAGTAATTCATAGTATACCAGTAAAAAACTGTTAAAATCACAAACTTACCTTTTAGAGAAACAGTCTTTAAGAAAACATCTAATCAGACAATGTACTTCATTTTCTAGTTTTAAGATTTTGCATAGGCAAGGCAAGGCAAGGCAAGTTTATTTATATAGCACTTTCCAACACAAGGCAATTCAAAGTGCTTTACAAAAAATGAAAGAGATTAAGGAAATGGCATTTAAAATCAGTCATTAAAAAGAAAAGCTAATAAAATAAACATTAAAAGAAAAAATACATGGATAAAAGTTACAGTGCAATTAAACATTAAAAGAAAAAGTACATGGATAAAAGTTACAGTGCAGTCTAAGATATGAATAGTTCAATTAAAAGCAGCGACAAAAAGAAAAAGAAAAAAAAAAAAAAAAAAAAAAAAGTGACAGGTGCATACCTCAAATTGTGTCTAAAAGTATTTTGGCAAGAGAAAAAAGCCTAAATCTGCCTAGGCCATTAAAATAAACCGAATTCCTTACAAAGTACTTCACATTCTACCAGTTGTTAAGTGTTGCATCAAAGTATGTCTAAAAGTATCTTAGTAACACAAGAAAAGAGAAAAAAGCCAAAATCTGTCTAGTGTCAGTAAATAAGTGTTAAAATCACAAAACTTGCCTTTTAGAGTCCCAGTCTTTAAGAAAATACATGTGTTACACAGTGACTGACATTCTACCTGTTGTAAAGTTTTCAGACAACAAACTGTATCTAAAAGTATCTTGGTTGCAGAAAAAACAAAAATCAGTAAAGCATCTAAAAAACATATATTAAAAAAAGTAATGTTAGTCAAGTCAAGTTATCAAAACTGCATTGTTTCATCGAAACAGTGTTGAAATCACAAACTCTCCATTTAGTGTTTGATTCTTTAAGAAACTCAATTCATTACAAATCAATACATATTTTACCAAGTTATAAAGTTCTGCATCCATTAAAGTGTAACTATAAGTATCTTTGTAGGAGAAAAAACAAAAATCATTTAAGTTATTTCCAGAAAACTGGATTGTCTTAAAATCCCAAAGTGCCTTTAAGAGTCACAGTCTTTAAGCAAATCTGTTCAGAAAAAGTACTTAACTTTCTACCAGTCGTAAAGTTGTCATACATAAAACTCTATCCAAAAAGTAAGAGAAAGACAACGAGATAAAAAAGCTAAATCTGCCTAGTGTCAGTAAAAAAGTGTTAAAATCACAAACTTGCCTTTTAGAGTCACAGTCTTAAATAACATCTATTTAGACAAAGTATTTCATTTTTTCTAGTTTTAACTTTTTGCATACATAAACGTGTATCTTACAGTTCCTTTGTGAGAGAATCTTCCTTATAGTTAATAACGTAATTAGACAATAAAAAAGACATGATCAAGGGGGCATTAAGATCTTTAAACTATTATTACCTTCTTCAAAGAGACTTCCTTGTAGTTAATAAAAATAATTAAAACATTAGTTCACAAGCCATACAACTTAAGAGAACATCCAGTTCACAAGCCATACAATTTCAAAAAGAACATCCTTAGTTAACAACAACTTCATAGGGGCTTTTAAAGTTGTGTGAAGTAATTAAACATTAAAAATACAAGATCAGGGGGTCATTAAGATCTTTTAAATTATTATTACCCCTCTTCATAAAAGAGACTTCCTTTTAGTTAATAAAGTAATTACACATTAGTTCACAAGCCATACAACTTAAAAAAAGAACATCTTTAGTTAACACAAATCATATTAAAAAACTAATGTAATTTAGAGAGAACAATAAAAGTTTTAGGTGACTTAGTGAGAGAAAATTAATGGCTTTTTATTTAGTTTGAGCGTATTTCTTTTTAAAACTAACTCCACCCCCCTATCTTTCTGGCATAGGATAACAGCAAAATCAGGCGGTGACAGGAGGGGGAGAGAAAGGGGGGGGGGGAAGGGGTGTGAGGGGGACAGGGGGGAGACAGTCTCACACATCCAGACTCCATTTTTCATGAAGAGCCTCAGACGGAGGGTCTGAACCCGGCACAGATACTGCATCCGTTTCTTGACTGGCGCTCCCGACGGATGGCGGTAAGTTGTCACAGGCGTCTCGCTGATTAAACCCATATCGATGCGTCTCTTGGCCATTTTACTTTTTTTGAAAGGTGACTTGATGAGTGGAAATGACTGGCTTTTTATTTAGTCTGCATGGATTTCTTTTTTTACCTAACTCCACCCCCACTATCTTCTGGCCTCATAGCCAAAGGAAGGGGGTGTGACAGGAAGGGGTGGAGAAAGGGGGGAGAGGCAGGGGGTGTGAGGGGACGGGGTGCGAGACCACCTGCGTGTGATGACACCTCACCCCTCACATCAAAGGATCTCACACATCAAACAAAGGGAGGCGGGGCTTAGCTCATTCGCATAATTGGGGGCGGGACCACCTGTAACTTTGTATACATACTAATGTGATTGAAGGCACATCATTATTACTACTGACAGGCCTGCTGGTCTAAACAGAGCAGCATGGACACAGTCAGGACCTGAATGGTAGATCATCTGTAGTTCACAGTAAATGTATATTTGTACACACCATAAATATGGAGTCCAGGTCTGTGTGATGCTTCGGGGCGGACTGATCACTGGGAACCTCTGAGAACTCCTGCAGAACTCTGTGGAGAAAACATCCAGAACATTTAAAGAGTCTAATCTGCACACAGCTGACTGAAGGTGTTCTGAGATGGAGACAGAATAACAGGGTGACTGTTGCTCAGCAGGAGGAGGGGGGGGGGGTTATAAAAACACCAACATTACTGAGGCCTGAAAGCGTCCGACCATCAGAAGCCTCCCAGCAGCTGATGGTGGGAGGAACAGAAAGCCCCATTATTATCTGGAGCCTGATTTGAACCAGTCTGTGGTGCCTTCTCCAAAGAGAGTCGGATGGTAACAGAGTCCAGTTTGAAATTCTTACCTTCCATCAGCACTTTGTCCAGCTTTAAAGTAAATAGGAGACTCCATAGACCAGTCACTCTTCATGGACTCACAGCTGGGTCCAGGTCTCTGCTGCTGGATCCTGATACAAATGAAGAAGAATTCATCTTTGTGCTCTTATTTTTATTGGATTTATGATCAAACTCACATTTTAAACAGGCCAACGCTGCAAATGTCCCGCAGTGGAACTCCTCAGAAAGAAGCTGATCACGTGACACACTTCTACATTCTCACCTTCCCTCTGCAGGACGTCCAGATTTAAAGGTAAGAGGGTGATCCATATACCTGTCACTCTTCATGGACACACAGCTGGATCCAGGTCCAGGTTCAGGTCCATCTCCAGGTCCATCTCCAGGTCCATCTTCAGGTCCAGGTCCAGGTCTCTGCTGCTGCATCCTAATACTGATATCAGACAAAGATAAAGATGGCATCTCCTCTCCGTTAACATGAGTCAGCTAAATGGCTCCTGAACCCGACATCAATGAGTTCATTCATTAATAAAACAAATGTAATATGTTGATTTGAAAAACATAACAAAATAATTCAATTTAAAACAAATTTGATTGATTACAAAATGTTCTAATTAAAATCTACGTTATTGATTTAAAAATATTTGTCAGATTTACACATTTTATAAAAAAATGTGTTTATTTGATAAATGATGTGAATGATTTAAAAAGTAAATAATAAATTGTGTATTATCGTGTTGAATTAGGAAAATTATTTTATTGAATTCAAACTGTTTTTATTTATTTGTTTATTTTTTAAACTACTTTTGTTGATTCACTGATTATTCATTTCATTTCAAACCTTTATTTAACCAGGTGAATCCCATTGATCTCTTTTTCAAGGGAGACCTGCAACAAGTAGGTTCCACAAGAAGACAGAAAACAACATAAAACAATAAAGGACCAGTGTTTCCCCTAGGATGGAGTCATAGCAGCGGTGCTAAGGCACGTGGGCCCAACATAATGTGAGCGCGGAACGCGTGGAATTTTTTAGTATGAGCACGTGCGAAGTGCGCCCCGCCAATTTGTTTCCATGTGTCTGCCAGCACAAGAAAGGCTCTTGAGGCCTAGTACCAGGGCCGGTTCTAGACAATTTGCTGCCCTAGGCAAGATTTAATATATCAAGAATAAATGAAAAATCTCTACAAAAGACAAATACATTACAAAAACAGAAAGATATACTTCAAAATGGTTTCAAATGTATTCAGTATTGTATGAACCTGTTTGAATTGGGGGGTGGACGTCACATCCTCTAGGGGGGTCCGGGGGCATGCCCCCCGGGAAGATTTTTTTGAACATTTTAAAGTAAAATGCTTCAATCTGGTGCACTTTGAGCCCAATTACTAGAGACCTGATCTAGGGGGTACAACTCTAAACACCCATATGAAAAAGATCGGTTTGCATTTTAATAATCAAATAAGTATGTGAACATACCCAATAACCTATCATAGCCAATAACAAATACATGTAACTATTTTATTTTTGTTGTTCATTCATATCTTATTTTACCTAGTTAACATTTATTTATGCATATTTTTGTATCTCTCCAACTTTAAACAATATATTTGGTTTACTGTCCTATAGTATACATTGGAATGATTTCAAACCTGTTTCATTTATCCTAATAATTATAAAGGAGTGCCTTGGAAATATGTGTTTACATCATTTGTGGTCAAAACGTTTGAGACCCACTGAGATAACTTAGACTAAAGTGAACTATCTAATATAACTATCTATATCTTACTTTCTATCTTTCCACTCTCTGTGAGATCAGAGCAGATATAAGGTGGTAGTTTACTCAGCATGGCTTTATAGATGAACATGTACCAGTGACTGAGCCTCCGAACAGTGAGTCAGAACCTCTGGCTGCTGTGACTTGTGAAGTGAAATTCTCCGGCCGATACTTGCTGTAGAAGTTTCCCTTACACTAACGTGTAACCCTATTATCTATTCCTTGACCTCTGAGTGAAAGGTCACGGGTTAAGGGATAGTGGATAGGAGAATTCAAAAGGACTTAGGAGAAGAGACTGCGGTACTTTAGAGAATCGACTGCACTTTCACTATCCGACGTGTTTATGATGCGCCAGCGGACGTCCTGAATGAGCGTCTGCTGCTGTGGGGAAACTATGGAAACTACAGTTCTCTATACAGCGGACTACAACATGGATGTTCAATAAGAACGAGGGACTCCTGTGAACTCATCTAGAGACTCTGTGCTCTGATGCTGTTGCTTTATGCTTTATGAACGTGGACAACAGAGAAACAGATTCTTCAGGACCAAAGCTGGAATTGAAATAAAAAGGAAAGTGAAGCTTCTGCTCGTCCCCCTCTCCCTCCGGTCCACATTAATACAAATGATCCCAATACGTATGATTGATGAAAAGATCTTAAATCAATACAGATGTATTTATTATAAACGTTAGTCCTTAACATCTATCTCTGTGTACATCACCATTCAAACATCTTTTAAAAGTTGAACATACCCCACACAGCTCAGTGAAGACTGTGAGATGTTGACTTTATTTGATCATTTCAGTAAAAACTAACGTTCATATTTCTCTCTTTGATTATAATACTGATGAACGTTCAGAACAAAGCACTTTGGCAACTTACCACATACGTTTTAAAATGCTTAATAAGCACCGTAACTTTCATGATATCATTTCTCCGTCATAATCGTTTGTGTCCGTGAACGACCGACTGTTGAGTGACGGCAAATGCTGCGGCTGCAAGGCATTGTGGGGCAGCATTTTCTCCTCTCCTTTCGGTTAGGGAGGTCCAGTGGTTCCTAAGCTAAAGGAGGTTATAAAGGAAGTTTGAAACCTCCTTTCCTTTCATTTGGAGAATTCAAACGGCACTTATCATGGCTGCCACTGAGGGACTTCCGGGTCATTTCACTTGGTTAGGAAGGTTCCTAAGAGAAATGGACTATTCGACTTGAGCCCTAGCTTCACCCTCAGCTTTCTGAGCAGATTATTGACCTGAAGTTTATTGATTCTTGTCATTGATGTAAACATTATTAATTTATCAAAATGTATTTAATTGATTAAACAAATATTCCTCTTCATTTCAAAGGTTTTAATTGAATGTATTAAAGAAGTAAAAAAATGCTTTATTACATTTATATTTTAATTATTAAAAAGTAGGGATGCACGATATTGGTTTTTTGAAACCGATACCGATACCGATAACTTCCTGCTTCTCAAGACCGATAATAAAAAAAATGTTACGCCACTAATTATTTTAACGCGATTAACGCATGTGTATTTTTTGTCCTCGGCCGCCCCGTAGTTTCAGAGCGCATCGAGTTTAAAATACCATCTACAAGCTGATGCTGACAGCCCCGCTCCTGCCGCCCGCTTGTGGCAGACCACACTTCCACGCTCACCGGCAGGCACCGACTGGCTATTGGGAGGACCGGGAGGGTGTGTGTATGTGTGGCCCGAGCGAGAGAGAGACCTTACGTGTATTGTTGTTGTTAGCATCTGGTGCTAGCTAGCTGCGCTAACGGATATAAGGAGCTGTTTAAATGAAAACAGAGGAGCGACATTTCGCCACAACTGCGCCGAGCACTTGACTTTATGCAGGAAGCCAGACAGAGGGACATTGTACGAAAAGTCAGCACACTCAGCACGGATAGTGCGCAACATGATTGCAGCGTCCAGGCAGCTCCCGTTCGAGCATACGCCTTGAGTTGCACATAGCTCCAACGCCCATACCACCGACGACATGTTTGTTTACTGTCCTGGCTTCACGGCTGCACACCATTTACGTCACAGCCAGGCATGAGTTAGGGAGCGCTGGATTTTGTGAAGAACTCCCCTCTTCCTAAACCACTAATACCACAGTACTGGCAAAACGGGAGGAGCCGAGTGAAAAACAAGCGCCCCTCATCCCAATCCACCCACACCTGTGGGTGGATTGGGATGAGGGGATGTTGTTTTCTTTTTTTTTACCCAAAAAATATATTGTATATATCGGGGCTATTAATACTGGTATCGGGTTTATCGGGATGACGTCATAATTCCTAATATCGGACCGATAATTATCGGGCCGATAATTATCGTGCATCCCTATTAAAAAGTAATTTTACTGATAAAATATTTTGTATGAAACAATATTATTGATTTGAAAACGTTTTTCTAAATAAATTAATATTGTATTGATTTAAAAGTATTTTTAGTATTTATTATACTATTATGTTATCGTGATAAAAATGATTTAATCAATTAGGAAATATTTATTAATTTAATGTATTATATTTATTAAATAATACTTTAATATAGAACGAATTCAATATATATACATAAATACTTTAATTGATCAAAAAATATATTTTATTGACTTGGATTTAGTATTGATTTTTATAGATTAAAAACAGTTTAATATAAGCTTTATATTGTATTGAATGTTTGATTTATTGACCTCAGAAAACATATAAAAATAAGACTCTCTTTAGTCTGTCTCATTCCTGAAGTATTGATTTTAGTTAGCATGTTAGCATGTTGTTAGCATGCAGTTAGAGCAGCTGCAGCTGTTATTATCAATAATATAAATAACTGTTAGCAATAAACACATTCGAGAGATGAGTCTGAGGTGAGAGCAGAGATCAGCTGAGAGTCATTTCACTCTGAAAACTGTCACTTACCAAGAGTTTAACGACGAGGAAAACTTCTGCGTCACAACGGGAACAAAGTGAAAGTAACTTCTGAGACCGGAAGTCCCCACAGAGAACAGGTCGGGAGAGAAGTTGAAGTGAATCATTAGCTGTACATCAGCTCCATCCTGTGGCAGCTCATGGTATCACAACTACTGTCAGTGCATATTAAAGGAGACTACAGTGTAACTACTGCTGCTACAGTAGTAGTAGTATTAGTAGTAGTAGTAGTATTAGTAGTAGTAGTAGTAGTAGTAGTAGTAGTAGTAGTAGTAGTAGTAGTAGTAGTAGTAGTAGTAGTAGTAGTAGTAGTTAGTAGTAGTAGTAGTAGTAGTAGTAGTGCTACTAATACTACTGCTACTACTACTACTACTACTAAAAAAATACATATTATAAAGCAAAATACATTAATTCAACATTGGATTTTGGTTATTTTTGGTTGGAGGTTGAAAAATCAATGTTGATTTGATGTGTTATTACAGATACCATTTCAACATTTGAAAAAATGTTGTTAAATCAATTTAATATAGATGCCGGTTTTCAACGTTGAAATTCCCTACAATGAATTTACATTTGCCGCGTTCACACCGGAGTACTTTTCCCCGTACTTTTCCCTTTTAGTTCTGTTAGTACCCCTCATGTTGCGTTCACACCAAAAATAGTACTTAGTGCCGGGAACTTTTACCCCCATTTTTAGTGCCTGCTGAGAGATCGTACTTTCCTGGGGGAAAAAAGTGCCCCAGTTCTGATTGGCTGGGCGAATTCCAAACCACGCCCCGTAAAACTCTGAAAAGTTTTTGTGAAGCCGCCATTGTATTTGTGGCATTAGCATTATTAGCATTAGCCCCGTGCACCAAAGGAGAGAGACTAACTCATGGCAACGCAAAAAAAAAAACATGGGAGCGGTGGAGTGTTGAGGAGGTGTCGGCGTTCTGGTGATTTACTCGGAAGGCTTCAGTAGAAGCTAATCACAGAGTAAATCACCAGAACGCCGACACCTCCTCATCACTCCACCGCTCCCATGTTTTTTTTCCAACTCCGTGGACTTCCGGCTGGGGACTTCCGGCAGCAGTATACACCGTGAAGTTGTTTTGCAGCCTGAACCCAAAGCAGAAGAAGACGAAGTGACGTCAGCGGCTCATTTGGGTAATCTTCCCTAAGGGAAAAGTACTCCGGTGTGAACGCAAATGGTACTTAGTGCCCTGGGGCAGAGTCCTGCATCGGGTCGGGTACCCGTGGGTACCCGACGGGTGACCCGACGGGCAGGGGCGGATCTACCGGGGTGGCATGGGGTGGCAACTGCCACCCTAAACAATAGCCTTGCCACCCCAGTTGGCATCTTTGTTTTGAAAGAAAAGTTGTGGCTCATCGGACATTTATGAGAGAAAGTCTCTAATGTCCGAGTGCAAGTGAATGCAGCACAAGACGCACGTCATGTAACCCCTCCCCCGGTCCTGGCGCGAGAGTGGAAATATGATTGGTGGCGAATTCACTTGAACGGGGGACGGCGCAAAACGAGAAGCCTTTCGGACCCAAGCACTGAAGGAATGAGGTGCGGTCTCCAATGAGAGAAGAGCCTGTCAGTGTGGCTGTACTCAGCATTGAATCAAAACGCACTACAGCTGTTGATCTTAATACGTTTGTGAGGCGTTTTGCTGAACAAGATAGTAATCGCCGCATTCAGCTGTAATAGACATGCCAACTTGATGCTCTGCTCACGGATGACTCGATGAGAACAAACTGTTAAGATGATGACCTTGTATGCGTGTATATATTGTTTTCTTTGTGGGGGTCTGCCCCCAAAAAACAGTTTTAAGTCCTGAGAAAGTAAAATAAGACGGCGTGTAAAACTACACAGCAGGTAAGGACCTTCCACTGGATCATCACTGCAGAGATGTTTTAGCTGAATACACGTTTAACCCTAACTGATGCAGTTAGTCACTTCTTTAATGTTTGTTCTTTCTGATATAAAGTCAAGGTTGTAACTGTATATCAATAATGATATAATTACTTGTTTTTCAAATTTGAAGGAAGGTGAGCAAGCATCTTGATGAACATTCATCATTAACTCCTCCAAAAAATATAGTTTATTAAATAATAAATGAATATGTGAATCATAACAGTTCTTCACTATATCTGTAAAGCGTCTTTGAGCACCTGTAAAAACGCTAACAAATTAAATCTATTATTATTATTATTTATTAACAGTGATTGACAGCTGATAGGAATAATATGATTGTTAATAGTATCATATTCATTCAGACAAACATCGATGAGACAGTTAGTTAATGTACTTATTGCAGCAGTCTGCATAGATTTGGTACCCCTGCTGGTCAAAGAGTGAAACAAACTAATTCAGTTATTGTTCAGTTAAAATGCATTAAATGATGTCTGCCACCTTATATATTTATATGTAAGGCTTTACTGATGTGCCACAATAATGTCACCTAATGTTATTGAGTTAAAATATCAATATTGTGGCTTTCCAAGTTAACATTGTTGATATGACTGCGATTAAATCAGCATATACTTCTGCCAGGGGATGCCACCCCTGAAATTCTCCTGCCACCCTCTTGCCATCCATGAATATTTGTCTAGATCCGCCCCTGCCGACGGGTGACCCGCAAAAAAAGTGATTCGCGGGTGGTATTTTTTGAAACGCTTGTTTCCGGGTTCGGTTCTGGGTAAAACAAAGATGATGCGGGTCTGGTCGCGGGTGTTGCATAATAAATATATTATAATAATGATAATAATAATATAGTTTAATGTTTAAATCCTCAGACCTCTCCCCCGCGGGACCGCGCATAATCATAACCTCTGCAGTGCATCAATCTGCTGCTGAGCGCGCCACATTCGATATGGCTGAGGTGAAGCTCTGTAGCGGAGAATACAGCATTTTCAATAACACTTCCTCAAGAGCGAAATCCAACGTCTGGAGGCTTTTGGTTCCTAGATGGAGAAAATAACCAACATCCCACGCTTTGAGACAAATATGCAACTGCGTGTGTTAATAATTGCACGTTTTTACTGCTCATATATATATAAGGGTTCGGGTCGGGTTGCGGATCCGTGCAGGACTTTGCCCTGGGGTAATAAGTGCCGGCACTAAGTACTGCAAAGTACGCGGTGTGAACGCGGCTATTGTTCCAACGTGAGACCAACTCTCCCCTCCCCTATACTTGTATTTAAAACACAGCATAACAAGGATTTTTGAGTTAACCGTTAAGACCGTTGCAGTCACATTTTTCTCCATGGAAACCCAGACGACTGCGCGCATGCGCATTGCTTTCGCCTACGGGATTTCCGCAGGGTCTGAGCAGGGTCCCGTCACTGTCTCTCAGCGGCGCTGACATTTTGCGGACAGAAACATCGATGTGTGGCCGAATTTGGATGTGAAGTTGGGGATTCTTGGGACATTTGTCTACCTCGTTTGCCTAATCAGGTAAGTGTGTGTTTTACCTAACAAGGAATGTTAACAGTAAAGTGCACTGTTGTGGTGACACGTTATGGGACATAATTCACATTGTGTTGCAACACGGACCCGTTAGTGAGGATACCGGGGTTGGTGTCATTCATGCTAGCTTGAGTAGCAACAAGCAGATGTACTTACCTCATCTTCTTTCTAATGGATAATAGAGTGTGGAGTTCCATACTGTAGGAGCAAACACAGTGGTGGTGGCTTAAAGCCCACCTCCGCTCCGCGCCGTCCGTTAGATGAGCCTGGTCAGATTAATAAAAGAAGGAGTTTAAAACACCGGAATAAAAGTTATAACAATAATCAGATTTTAATGGTAAAAAACACTAATACAAGTTTACAGAGTACTCTGGACTCCCAGTTCTACTGCCGTACGATACAGATATCGGGACCAGCCAGTCAGAAACAGGGGGCATCGTGCATGAATAAACATCAGTATACATAGATATTATTGGGGGCAGGGTTGTGTCGGTTTCTCTGCCCTCCCTCCAAATCTCTAATTGGTCGATTTTACTCCTAAGCGAATCAGAGAGTCCGTGGGGAGGAGTTGTGTCGGTTGCTCACTCCCCTAGGTGTTCTTACTGGTTGGATTCACTTCTGGTCGGGTCCAATACAGCGAATCAGAGTTCTGGGAAAAAGTTTGTTTTACTTCTGAACAGAGCGTGACAGCTTCGGAAGTAAACAAGGACAGAGTCAATCTTTATCTTGCACCTGAATTCACTCCTTTACTTTCCCAAGGAATATTTCACACAAACTATTCTTTCCCAGACAATCAAACATTGTACACAGATATATTGGTGCCTGAGATTATATTGGCCCCAGAAATAACCTTGAAAAGAATATGTGTGTGTGCTGGTATCTGGGTCAGTGAGTGTGAGTTATATATATATATATATATAGGATTACTTGAAAACAGTCCCAAATAATACATATTCACTTCAATACAGATTAAAATAATACATGTTCACTTCAATACAGATTAAAATAATACATGTTTACTTTAATACAGTTTAGAACAATATCTGTTAACTTTAATACTGAACACACCGCCTCTGACTCCCTTTCATCGGCTCTACACTGGTGACCCTGATGTTTTCGAACATGGCTGATCGTGATGTTTTTGTTAAGCTGCCGGAGTTTTGGGAGCATGTTGCTGCGGCGTGGTTCGCACACGTGGAGGCACACTTTGCCTGCCGACAAGTCCGTGATGGGGACTTGAAATATTTCCACGTGGTTGCAGCGCTAGGAAGCTCCACGTCGTCCAGGTTGATTGGATTTATGGCAGACCCCCACACCATGGCAAATATGAGGCGATTAAGGCCCAATCTCCTTAAGACATTTAGCTTATCTGCTAAGGAGAGGGCCCGCCAGATTCTTGACATTCAAGGCCTAGGAGACAGCAAGCCATCTCAGCTCATGGAGAGAAAATGTTGAATCTGCTGGGGGGGGGGGGGAGGTACCCGGATTTTGTTTGTGGAGACATTCCTGCGCCACTTGCTTTCCCAGGTTCAGACGGCGCTAGCCAACACGTCCATTACGGAGCCCCGCGCCTTGGCTTAAGAGGCCGACCGTTTTTTCCT